TATTTAGCAGAGAGAAGGATGTCAAGCAAAGACACATGCCAAACTGGTAACCATGGCTATCCCAATAGCATGGCACGAGGCTGAGCTGTCAAGCAAACCTTTCACTGTACCTGAAGTGTTCGAGTTTTTACAATATGGACATATCCGTGTGTTATTTCTGTAACATTATAAATGTCTACATCATTAAGAGAAGAACAACCAAGAAAGGTAGTGGAGGACCATGCGAGAGGCTGGTCCCAAGGCAGGAGGCAGTGACAAAAGCTGGCAGAACTTATGGGGTTGGTCTGGGGTTAAAAGAGCTGCATATAACTTTGTGGTGACCCTGGTCCGCATGCCCTGTGGGAAGTCCTGCCAAGCCAGGATGCAAGGCCTCCCAGCCCTGGGCTCTCTACTGGGCTCGATCAACTTCTGACCCCACAAACAGAGTGGCTTACTTTCATGTACTGAGCAACACGGATGATCGACAAGTTACTCTCACCCCAGTTCGAAACTTGCCTTTTCATGAGGAGCAATAAATCTTGCCAGCAGATGCCAAATGCCCCTGAACTGAATCACAGCTGTGCTGTCTAGACCCAGATGTCTCATCCTCACTTTGTCAAACAAATTGTGCCTTGCACATTACTGTCAACCTTATAAATTTGCTTGGACTTCACAAAGTTCCATGAACAGCAGAGTAGCCCCCCCCTCTGAGGAAAGCCTGACCACATATGAATGATTCCAGGACATGTTAGGGAATTAAAAGCAGAGACCACAGAAACAACGTTAGCATGTCAATGCACATCCCACTAATGACAGACTAGGCAGTTGTGACAGACAAACTTAGAAATAAAAATGTTTCCTGACACTGTCATTCTTTTCAATTATCTGATTATATTTTGAAATACAATCAGATGACACAGCTTTTACAGAATAGGGGCATGACCAAATGACCAATCATCCAATAAAGCATCCAGTCAGAGCAATTATATGCGAGCATACACGTGTGTGTATGCGTGTGCGCAGAATTTCATTTTAGTATGGCAGTTGGCCTCTTTGGAGTGTGCATTATTGCTACGGATAGTGCACAAGTAAAGCCACATAGACAAATACAATCAAATGCAACTCTGCAGGAAGCAGAGTGGTAAAAGAGGAAAGGTTTCCTGCACAGGGTGTCATGTCCGAGCTCAGTTCTTACAGGTCAATGGGAGCTTGCATGGTGGATAGGGTTGCCAGACAAAAATAAAGACATCCAGTTAAATCTGAATTTAAGATAAACAATGAATGATTTTTTTTGTACAGGTAGGTTCCAAATATTGCAAGGGTGTTCTGTATTTTTATATGGTAAGCCAGGCAATCCTAATGGTGAGATAGGGGCAGACATGTATGCCAACAATCTTTCCTTCTTTTTCATGAATATTGTCAATGTCAGCATCAATTAACATTCATAGCACATGGGGAATGAGGTCCATGCCACAGGGAAGCCCTAAGAATTATTCCTCCTACCTGAAACACTCAGAACATGCCTGCTTCTTCAACTGTGGACTCCTTGAGATCATGTACTACATACACCTTATTCCTCCTTTTTCAGGACCTAGGCCAGTGACTGACAGTAACACTAAAAATACATTTTTTTTAATAAATAAGAACATAACATAGAATGAAAGTAAAAGGAGAAAATTTGGGGTGATAAGGATAAAATAACAAAACTGCATGGCAGAAAATACAGGGAACTTCAAGATGGTTGGCAATAGCCAAGTCTGCAGCCACCTCCATTACCTATGAGCAGAACTTCTTACCCTAGTGAGGCAACTGAACAATCTCTCAGCTTGGTTAGTACTGCTAAACTGTCTCAAACAAGTGCAAAGCATACTAAGAACCAGAGGCAAGTTTGGGGATGGGAGGATGGAGTATACTAAATTAGAAGATCAACTTAAACAATTATGTTTTAAAAACCCAGAATTAGGGCTGGTTGGTTAGCTCAGTTGGTTAGAGCACATTGTTATAAAACCAAGGTCAAGGGTTCAGATCCCTGTACGGGCCAGCTGCAAAATAATAATAATAATAATAATAATAATAATAATAATAAAAATAACATAAAATTTTTTTTAAAGTTAAAAAAAACCCCCATAGTTAAAGAGGACAAGGCAATGTAAAAACAAAAAGGGGAACAAGCAATTCTAGTTGGGACAGTTCAAGAAGTTGTAGGTAGAAGTTATGTGAGGTATGTAAGAAGATATGGCCCTCAGAGGTGCTTTCTACTTTACAGAGTCTGTGTGTGTGTGTGTGTAAAATCATATATATATATATATATACACACACACACACACACACACACACACACACATCAACATATTTTCTCATGAAAATCTGCAAGAACAGTATATTGAACTCCCACATACTCTATGTTATTCTTATCAACTGAATTGAAACTGAGCTTTAGGGAAAATTTACATTTTCTTTTGAAGTACTCTGGAGTGGAAATGTTTAAGTAAATAAAGTAATAAAGATCCCATTTCAGATGTATAATAATTTTTCTTTTTTAGTGTATCTTCTTTTTTTTTTTTTTTCCTTTTTGTCTTTTTTCGTGACCGGCAACGGATAGCAACCCTCAGTGTCGCGCCCGTACCGGACCGGGACCGGCAACGGGATCGCAACCCTCGGTGCTGCGCCCGCACCTCGCTCAGCAAGTGAGCGGCCGGTCTGTATGTGGGATCCGAACCCTCGGCGGGAGCGCCGCCACGCTCCCAAGAGGCGCACTGTAGCAGTGCACCACTGGGCCGGCCCTTTTAGTGTATCTTCTAATAACAGTTTTGCCTTATTAAATGAGAAACACTTGCTGACCACAGAAAACTTTAAAAATCTAGGTAAGTAAAAAATACAAAAATAAAAACCACCCATTATTATTCTAGTCAGAGAAAATGACACAAAATTTCTAGTATATATACTTCAAGATTTTTTTCTGCACATATATGCACATTTCTATGTTTAACAAAAATGGTATCAGACTCTACTACCTTGTAAGCTTGTTTTTAAGCTATGAAGTGTATCTATCCAAATGTCCACATATATTCTTACACATAATTTTTAGTGCTTGCACAGTTTTCTACTAGTGGCTTACTTAACTAAGTACCTAATGCTAAATATTTAAATTGTTTTCCATTTTTTGCTGTGATAAACTTCCTTACAGCTAAGTCTTTAAGGACATCATCATTATTTCTTGGGAAAAAATTCCTAGAGGGAGAATTGCTGAGTCAAAGACTATGTACATTTTTAAAAGGCTTTTGACCCATATTACCATTTTGCTCTCTTGGAAAGTTGTCTTAATTTATAATCCTATATAATAGGACCCATTTTCTTAATTATTTTTCAAAGTTAGTCACCCCAAGAAATCTGTCTGTGAAATCAGAATTCATATAGCTAGAGCATATAGAGTAAGATATGTAATAAATTTTATTCTCATAGGAAACAGTTCCAAAAGCCAGGATTTTAAGAAATCTCACTTAAACACAATTAGCCTTTGAAGCAGCCAACCAATTTAGATAAATTTTTAAGCCAAATATTCAAAGTCTACCATATTTGTGGAGCTGTGGCTGCTTACCATTCTAAAATGACCTTATTGAAAATGAATGTGTTTCTTTTGTTAGATGATAAAATAAGCTAGCTTCATTTAATGACATCCCATTTTACTTTGCTAAAGAAAGAAATCCATTTTTCCTGACCATAACCAGAAGAAGGTTATTTGGTCAAACAAAGTAAAAACCAAAAATGGCAGATAGCCATCATTACCACAGTAATATTGGTCCAGGTGTGAACTGGCTTAGCTAAAATGGGTAGCCTCTTATTCATATACCTCCTCAGTGAAAAACAAACACAAGAACAAACAAAAGCCTTTACAGAGTCCAGAACTACCAAGCAAGAAGGAAAAACGACTAAGCAAAAATTTAAAATACTGACGCCAGAGCTCTAGCCAGAATCCCACCGGGTTCTGAGGTAGGAAGCCAAGGGTCTCAGCCCTGCATTCTCCCCGTATCCCACTGCAACCAGGCCAGTGACAGAGCCAGCCATGGGTCAGCCCTGACCCCCTGCTTACTTCCCCCCCAACAGCGTCTTAAAATGTACTTATTATAAAAAAAATTAAAGTTTTAAAATACTGTCTAAACTATATCTAAAAGAAAAGAAAATGTATGATACTACAAGACAGAAGCTAATGAAACAGAAAAATATGCTCAAATACACAACCCCCAGAGGACTTCTAAGAAAGATATCAGAAGCATATGAAATGTAAGTCAAGGATGGATTTAACTAAAGAAAAGGATAGTTGGAGTATACAGACATTTTCTAATGGCAACAGAAAACCAAGCCAGTTTAGTCTTCTATTTGGTAAATGCTATGTTAAATTATCAACTCTGCTCTTCATCTTTTTTGAGATCAAGAAAAATCAAATAAAAAGAGAAAATATCCAAATATAGATACTTAATTTAACAAGATGGAAAAAACCTAAACTACATTACACTCTGGTGACCTAGCAATCAAATAATCACAGTCGTTTGGTCACTGTCTCTGATTTATTCAGTGAGAGAGGATGTTTGGCTTACAGGGAGAGGCACAAAAAAATATTTTCATGAAGGATCACTCTTTTATGTAATAGAGTCAGGGGAGTGAATGAGTACAGAGAGTCACAGCTTTAAGCTTTCTGAAATACTCTGCATCAGTCCTGCTATGACGATTCTTTAGTGCTAGAATGGGTCATCCAGGCATCTAAGGTAATACAATGGTGCAATGGTAATGCTTTGTTCACTTTTCTCAAAAAAAAAAAAAAGATAGCACTTCCAAAGTTAGCACATCCAAAGTCAAAGGCACACTCAGAGGCAAAGGAATGGGGCCGTAACCCTGAGAACATAAAATGACAAATGAGAAAACTCCTCTTACTGAAAATATTCAGGTATATAAAGGTACATGAAGGAATACTTAAAACATCATCGTCCACCTTGGGTCTTGTGGATTTTTCACCTCGGAAAAAAATGAGCACCAAGCCTGACGTGATTCAAAAGTGTTTGTGGCGTGTGTTCCTTGTGGTTCTGTTCACCACCAGCATCCTACCTCTGGACTGTAACTTACTGACTGTTCACCTGAGGGGAGTCACCTGGCAAAATCTGAGACTTCTGAGCAGTATGAACAACTCATTTCCTACAGAATGTTTAAAAGAAAACAAAGCTTTTGGGTTACCCCAAGAGATCCTATCATACACCAAGCCTGGGAAAAAGGACATCAAGGAGACCTTCTATGAAGTGTCCATACTAGCCTTCAACATCTTCAGTCAACACACCTTCAAATCCACTTGGGAATAAATACACCTGAAACAAATCCAAACAGGACTTTGTCAGCAAGTGGAGTACCTGGAACAATGCTTGAAGGAAGAGGAGAATGAAAATAAAAACATGAGGGAAATGAAAGAGGAAGAGATGAAACCCTCAGGAGCTAGAGTCCCTCAGCAGAGCAACCTAGAACTGAGGAGGTATTTCAACAGGATAGTCAATTTCCTGAAAGGAAAGGAGTACAGTCACTGTGCCTGGGAGATCCTCCAAATGGAACTCAGATGATGTTTCTACTACTTTTGGAAATTCACAGTGCTACGTAGGAGGAAATAGGTATATTTTTAGAATCAAAATTCCATTTCCCTCCAAAATCTCCTCCTTTTCCTTCTTCTTCATCTTGTCTTTTGAGGATTATTGTGCCACATTCACCTCTCAGAGGAGAGGTAATGCCAACCACCCCTCAGTGACCAAGAGTCTTGTCAGAAAGTCCTGAAGACAGGTTGAGAGGAGTAAGATTCCTTCTCCATCTTCTACTCTCCCTCCCTCTTTTCTGTGTACATTTTGTACTGGCTTTGCTCTACCACCTTTGAACTTCACCAAGACAATGGGGAAAGGATGTGGAGCAAAGAATGTTGCAAAATGTAGCATTTCATTGACTTAACCCTCTTGCTGCCAGAGGTTATTTATTGTATGGAAGTTCAACACATGAAAAGAGCTTAAATAAACTCCATAGAGTCAAACCCTTCCTTTCCCCTCCTCCTGCCCAGAGAAAAAAGGTTGACATTTCTGGCCCATTTGCTTCTCAGCTTGGTTTGTTTGAAATGCTGCAGTATGTAGAACAGTATGTCCTTACTTTTATTCATTTAATTATTTATTTTTGTGGCTGACCAGTACTGGGATCCAACCCTTGACCTTGGTGGTATAACACCACACTCTAACCGACTGAGCTAACAGGCCAGGTCTCTCGTTACTTTTAAGAGAGTGAACATCCACAGGGAAATTGGGTGGATGGTTAAATTAGAGGCCCATTAAGCTCTCATTTAATTTTTGAAAGCCTATGATTCTAATGCAGAGCCCTCTTCATTCCTGACGTACAGGGTTTGATTCCTACATCTAAAGGCATGGAAAATGCTACAGAAGAGTGTAGTATCTGTCTTTCGTTGCTTTTTTGTGTACCTGAAATAAAATGCCTGGAGTCATACTACAGAAGAATTTTAGTCTTCTAATAATATGATACTTATCTTTTTTAAAGTTATTTTGTACCCAGATTACCTAAATTATTTACTTAACTTTTCTTGTATGGCCCTTTATCTGTATTAATTCACCACCTAGCTGAGAATTTTCTCTTCCTTTCTTCTCTACCCCATTTCAGAATCATCTATCTTCAAGCAAGAATTAACACAGAGACTGTGGCTAACCAAACACACAAAAGAGGGTTAAATGTACCTGGTTCAGCCCTTGAGAGACCTCTCCTGTTAATGCTATTAACAGCATGCTGCTACACTGTTCAGATTCAAGATTGTTCCAAGTGCAGGGCTCAACTGGGATAGCTAAAGAAAAAAAGTCTTACGATAAAAGTGAAACAGTCAAAAAGTTAGAAGTGTTTAAAAGAACAAGAACAAGTTGTGGATCATGGAATATGGGTTATCAGCAGAAGGATCAGACAATAAAATAAGTGAGTGTAATCCATTTAGTAAAAACAACTCATCAACAGAGTTGTTCCAAATGAAAAAAAAGCACTACAAGCTATAAAGGAGTTGGGGCAGGCAAGCTACTTGGCAGAAAATATACACTTGATATTTTCCATGAATTTCCCTAATAATGCCTTTGTCTGGTGTCCCTAATAACCCCACTGGAATGATGTCAGTTACATTAGTAATTTATAGTTTCAGTCTTGCCAAGTGTTTGCTATACAGGAAGTAAGAGAATTGGCCAAGAAAGCTGAGCACTTCTAGTCAATACAGATCATCCGATTGTACAGGACAGAAGTCTGGACAATACGCTTTTATAAAGAGCACACCTAATCAAAAGAAACAGCGGAAAATCCAAACTGAAAAATAGGTACGGACACAAACTGACATCTTCATAAAAGAAGAAATACAGAGAAAATGAAAAATGTTTAATCTCATTTGTGACTAAAGAAATGCAAAATAAGACTAGATACTTCCCTTCCATCAGTATGGCAGAGATGAAAGAGAATGATAACATCGAGTGTGCATCAGGTGCAGGGTATAGAAAACAGATCCTCTTGTGTATTGCCAGGGAATACTGTTGGAGAAGGGCAAACTGGCACACATTTCCTACAGGGCAACATGGCAATCTTCAACATCCTAAAAAAGTACAACAATCTCTTTGACCTACCTATTCTATCACCAGAAATTTATTCCAAGGAAAAAATTAGGTAAGATTGTTCACTGGAGCCTTGTGTATAGTATCCCCCTCTTTTTCATTTTCACCTGTATTTTTCATTTTTTTCCGTACTTTCTATTTTTTCTACAATGATTTTTTGGGGGAGATTATTTTTTTTTAATTTTAAAATTAAAGAAACTGTACAAGCTTATCTTCCACCATAACTACCCTGTTTTCCTTACTGGGGAAGACTGGGAGAAGCACTGTCCTTTTACTTTGTTAATGATGCTTTTGGGTATTGAGCAACTCAGGTCCTTCTTGTTGCTTTGCTGCTGCACTTCAAAAGAATCCTTCCTTGGGGATCATTTTCATAAAGAAATGCTTATAAAGTGCCTTCAGTACCTCAAAGATTTTGCTTTTTTTCTTTTATTGGTCTCATTGGTAATATCCAGAAATCGCTAGAGAAAGTGGTGTGTGTCCACATTCCTGACTTAGCAGTCTCATTTCATTGTTAAATGGAAGCCCAAACGTTGTTACGTCGGTAAAGGGCAAACTCCAAAACCTGTGCAGAGCCAAGCACACAGTTTCCACTTAAAATGTTTGAGTGGGTACATAGGTCACAAGTGTTCCTGCATAAGCATTCTTCCTCCCCTGTGTTGGGGAGGGAACAAAAGTTGGAAGATCACTGAGTCTCCTTGGAAGAGGGACTGATGAGCATCTCACAGAAAAAGCTGGCAACACTGGGTCAACTGCAAGGCCATGAAGAGGTACAGGCTCCAACAGACAGGAGTACAGCCGGGGCCTCCCCTCACAGGCAAGACGGGTCTCCGAGGACCCTGCCTTCTCGGAGTGGCTACTTTGCTTTTGCCCTAGGTCTTTAAAAAATAATCCATCCTCGCTAAGAATGAACACGATGTGTAAGAATCTAACTTGTGCAGGGAAACAGGTCCACCTATAAACTAGTAGTCGCACCCACAGGCGAAAACAGGGCCGTCCCAAGCCACCTGTTCTCTGGGACTCAGACGCGTGAACGCCGCGTCCTCGGAGTCTGCGGCTTCTACAACGCAGCGAGAGACCCGGCCTGTAAACCTGGAGCCCTACGCGAAGTCACGACTCCACGTTCGTTCCGGGGTGAGCCACCACACTACTATTCCAGGCAAAATTTCCAGGCTTCTTGGGTTGTTTGCATGTCCTTTCTCTTTATTGGGACTCGCCTGCCCTCCCGCCCTTGAAAAATCTTAGACCCCTTTCTGCCTTCCAGCGGTGCCCGGACCCCCTCCCACGGCCCTGGCCGCGGCCCAGCCACCGCCTGTGGCTAGAGACTGAAGTCCTCTGGAGCCAACCGCAGGACACCCTGGGCTGGGGCGGACCCTCGCTTCCACTCTCTCGAAAGCAGCACCCTGCTCGGATTTGCGCCCTTTGCGGCGCCCTGGGCCACAGGCAGCCGCGGAGGCGGGGAAGGAACAACTTTCCCCCGGCCCTCTAACCACAAGGCCCGGGGAGCGGGATCGGGGAACGGGATCGGGGAGCGGGATCGCCGGCCGGAGCCGGCCCGGCGGCTGGCGTGGGGGCCGGGGAACCACAGGGGCTTCCTTTTCTCCCCAAGCCCCGCCAGATGATGGAAAGGCAAACAATAGGGGAAACGCGGAGAAACAAAAGGCCATTCGCCACGATCCCAGTCGGTTCTGTCGCGAGGTCCCTGCGGGGAGGACTCACGGAAGGGGATCCGGAAAAGACTGAGGGGGATCTCCAGGGGTTCAGGGTCTCTGGTACGGCCAGGCGCCAGTGGTCGGCCCTTTGCCCTCTCGAGACGGGTCCCGAGGTGGGGAAGGCCAAAGAAAAGTTGGAGGGTTTTCACCTTGTTCCTCAGTGTGGGGAAAGGGAGGAGCTGGGATTCCAGAAGTTTGACAGTTGTTGGCCCGAGCGTTCTGCAGGATTTCCACGTCCTTTAAACGCTCCCTCCCTCCAAGAAGCACCAACAGCCCAAAGGCGACCTGGCTGAGGGCGCGGAGTTCCCCCGCGCAGCCCCAAGCCGAGTCTCCTCCCTCAGGACGAAGACGCCCAAACGTCGTCCCCTGCCCAGGCGCACTTCTGTAGAAGTTTGTCTTCCCGCCACCCACAGCCCAACACGCACCCTGCAGGCACCGGCGAGTCGTGATGGGGTCGGGGACAGACTTGCACCCCTAAGGAAGGAAGGTTTTATTGACTTTATATCTTTTAAAATCAAGCCACGGGTCCTGGGGGTGGGAACTGGACCCTCGTTCCTTCCGGGGAAGTGCGCACGAGGAGCCGGCCCGGAGCCAAGGCGCCTGCACGGCTCTGAAGCGGACTCCAGCCCCGGAAGCCGGCGGAAGGCGGGCCGGGGAGCGGGCGGGTCCACGGGAGGAGCTCTTCGGCCAGCGCGCCGGGGGCGGGCGGGCGAGAGTGGGGCTCCGGCTGCAGCCGCCGCCGCTCTGGAGTAGCCCCCACATGCACCCAGCGCGCCGCGCAGCCCGCCGCGCAGCCCGCCGGGGCTCTACCAGCAGCCCGAGCGCCGAGCGGGGACCCCTGGCGGCCGCCTGTGGAGTGGCAGCTCCGTGGGGGAGAGAAGTCAGGTCGCCTTCAGGATCGTCTTCCCTCTGGAAAGAAGGGACTTGGGCAGTCTACGGAGGCTCCCAACCTTGCAGAGAAGACACTGACCCTTGGTCCAGGGTGGCAGGGAAAATGCCGGACCAGAAAGGATGCATTCTGGATCCACAACGGCCACTTCCGAGGCACCCAGAGAGGGGGAAATGGCTTATTTTGTCCAAGATTTTTTGCCTGTTGAAAAATGCCATGGACTGTAAGAAAATAATCTAAGTGATTCATTTTCAAAAATAATTCAGGCACAGCCCAAAAGTTGTCTGGTCCAGCTCATTCCTGCAGGGTCGCTGAATAGATAAAGTTGTCCTTGAGATCGTAATGAGTTACCTGCCCTTAATTGTTTACTTCAAATGGATAAAGTT